GCAAAATCAAGTTGGTGGCTTACAAAAGTGTCCATTCATTTCCTCTCCAAAATTGTTGAACAGATATTAAAAGAGGATGCGTAGACTGAGTACTATCCCAATATTTAATGGTCAAATATTTTCCTACACCCTCCCCCAAATGCAACCATTTTGTGAGTAGAAAGAGGGGTCCACAGAAAAAGACCAGTTACTGGTGTTTTTTTAAATTTCATTTTCTAAAATGACAAGTCATTTTAGGCCCCCAGCTATTTTCTGTAATCTGTGCCCTACTTGCCTTAGCACAATTCTCGCAGAACTTCCTAGGAGGTGTCTAGATTACAAAGAAATGCAAGAACCTTAGTAGTTAAGAATTTTTAGGGAACAAAGGTAGTGTAAAAACTAAGTCTGTAGCCTAACCATTTAAGAGAAAGTCAGTGGTAAAAACAAAAACAAAACTCTTAAGTGCTGTTTCAAAAGTAAGCTAGGCCCTGAACCCTTTGCCCAAGATGATGAGGCCAAGAATCCAGTTTATGCTGGCTCTTGGAGCATGCACATAGCCCCTTCTCCATGTCTGACATTTATTTCTGCTTCATTATAATGTTAAAATCTCGGGGCACCTGGGTGGCTCAGTTGGATAAGCAACTGACTTGATTTTGGGTCAGGTCATGATCCCAAGGGCCATGGGATCCAGCCTTGCAACGGGCTCTGCCCTGAGTTGGAGCCTGCTTAAGATTCTCTCTCCCTCTCTCTCTCTCTCTCTCTGTCTCTCCCTCTGTCCCACTCCCTTGTTTGAGCTCTATCTAAAATACAAAAATATGTATTAAAAAAAATCTCTGCTTAAGGAAGAGCACAAACCTCATTAACATAACATACAATGTATGTATAGGCCAATTGCCTTAAGATGCAGGCATGACCTTATTTCCACCTCTACACAGGATGACAAAACTCCCCTTTCTGAATATCATCCTAACCCTAAATAAAAGAAACTCACTCCTTGGAAATTCAGGGCGTTGGGAGTTAATCCCTGTAATCTCCGTATTTGCTGAAAATAAAACTTCCTTTGTGACAATTCCACTTGGAATTGCCTTTTTTTTTTTTAAGTGTATTTATTTTGAGCATGATAGGGGAGGGGCAGAGAGACGGAAAGAGAGAATCCCAAGCAGGCTCTGCGCCATCAGTGTAAAGCCCTGTGAGGGACTCCAACTCACAAAATCACGAGATCAAAACCTGAGCGGAAGTCAGAGGCATAACCCACCGATCCACCCAAGCTCCCCTTGTGTAGTTTGTTATCTGTAACTCACCAAGGAGCAAATGCGCTAGTTCCGTAATAACTGGAGGTTTGGGGAATCAGTGCTTGTGGAATATCTGGGGGGAGATCATTGATGATGGGGCTTTATGCGAGAGGACATTCACGGAGAGGTCTGTGAAGGGATGGCTTGTTTTCCTCACACATGCCACAAATACGAACCACCTGCGTGTGCCAGGCGGAGCGTGCCGCTCAGCTGGGTAAGTGGTGGTGCTTCGCTGATAACAAGCAAGACCTAGTGACGGGTGGTTAGTTACAATCGCTTCAGCCCAAGCGGGACAGCTTTGGACTCCGGGCAAGTACAAAGTGGTTTTACCAAAGCTGGCACGCTTCCTAAAGCGGCTGCCGCCAAGGGCGAGTAGGGGTCAGGGCGCGGCCATGTTGCCTCACAGGTGGAGGTGGGAAATCCGGCACCCAGACGTCCCCACGGGCTCTTCCACCCGCTGCTGCGCCTGCGCGTCAGGGGTACGGTGAGCCGAGCGGAAGTGCGGTGGGCGGGCGGGGAGCCGAAGTGCAGGAGGAGCTTCCGTCCTTGACCTTTGGTCTGGTGGCCCCGCAGAACCCCCGGAAGCCCTGTGGTGAGGCCCGAGGTCTGAGCCTGGGATTGGGTGCTGAGGAGGAGGCTGGGTGGGCACAGTGACCCTGGGCTCGAAGGTCCCTGGGTGGTTTGATTCAGCGTCTGAGGTGGATGAGAGATAGTGGCCCGGATGGGAGCGTGGTTTGTTGGAAGTTTTTGTGGGGGCGGGGTGTCTCATTGAGCCTGGGGGACAAGACATGTGATGATAAAGGCAGAATACCTTTTTCTAATTAATTCGTTTATTTTGAGAGAGAGAGAGAGAGAACGCCAGTCGGGAAGGGGCAGAGAGAGAAGAGAGAGCGAGAGAAAGAGAGAATCCCAAGCTGGCTCTGCCATGTTAGCACGGAGCCCGATTTAGGGTTCGGACTCACAAACCGCCCCATAAAGGGAGAATTTCTGGCAGGGGGATGAAAGAGCTGTTTGACAGATGCTCGACCTGTACATTGCACAGTAAAATTTGCTTTATGTATATAAAACTACATCCTAAAAAGTTTTTCAAAAGGAATAAAGTAGGGGGCGCTTGGGTGGCTCAGTCACTTAAGTATCGGATTCTTGATTTCAGATCATCTCACTGGTTGGTGAAGAGAGCCTATTTGGGGCCCTGTGCACGCACGCGCGCGTGATGGCTCACACTCTCAAAATAAATAAACTTAAAAAAAAAAAAAGGAATAAAGTTCTGATACAAGGCACAGGCCAGATGCACCTTGAAAACATTGTGCTAAGTAAAGGTCATTTCCTACAGATGATAGATTTCTTTTATAGAAAATGTCCCAAGTGAGCAAATGTATGGAAACAGAGTAAGTTCATGTTGCCCAGAGATGGGAGGGATAAGGCTACTTAGGGTGATGGCTGAGGGCTAAAGGTTTTTTGGTTTTGGTTTTTTTTTTTTTTGTGGTGATTGAAATATTTAAAAAATGGTTGTGTTAATACGTGCACAGCTGTATGATAAAAAAACCACTGAAACCAGTGTGCACTGTGGGGTGCAGAGTGGGGTGTCTGGGTGGCTCAGTTGGTTAAGCATTCAACTTCGGCTCAGGTCATGATCTCGCAGTTTGTGAGTTTGAGCCCCATGTTGGGCTCTGTGCTCACAGCTCAGAGCCTGGAGCCTGTTTCGGATTCTGTGTCTTCCTCTCTCTCTGCTCTTTTCCGGCTCGCACTCTGTCTCTCTCTCAAAAATAAATAAACATTAAAAAAATTAAAATCTTACAAAGTAGTGGCTCCTGGGTGGCTCAGTTGGTTAAGCATTTGACTCTTGATCTCAGCTCAGACCTTGACCTCATCAGGGTCATAAGTTCAAGTCCCACCTTGGGCTTCACGTTGTGTATGGAGCCTACTTAAAAAAAGAAAAAAAAATCTTACAAAATTCTGGAACATAAAACAAATCTAAACCAAGGAAAGAAGTTACACAGTCTTTGACTGTAATGGGATGAAGCTAGAAGTCAGTAGCAAAAAGATACTAGGAAATTCTAAATAATCTGAACTCAGAAAAGACTTCTGAATAAACATGAGTCAAAGTGGAAGTCTTTAATCAGGTACCATCTTGAACTGATTTAATAAAAGTGGTACATGTCCAACTTTGTGGGATGCAGCTAAAGCAGCGTTTACAGGGAAACAAAGCTTGAAATGCTTCTATGGATTTTGTATAACTTTGCCAAACAACTTTATTAATTTTAGGAGCTCTTATTGCTTATTTATTTTTCAAAGAAACCATCTATTTTCCATCAATTGTATTTCAATTTTGTTCCACAGATTGTACAGGAACAGCTTAAGACCATTCAGTGGTCATTACTACCCATTCGGTGGCCTGACCAGGGGGAGCCGCACCCCAGTCTTCAGTGGGGTGCCAAGCACTCCAGTCTTTGGTGGGGAATTGTTGAAAAGGCACAGAGGCACTTGCCTGCCTGCAGAGCAGGTCTGGGACCGCAGGTGGAGCAGCCATGAACTCAGGAGCCGAAGCAGTCCATTCACCCTGAAGTTCTTCCTTGGTCAGTAGTTAAAACTATTTAAAAGTAAAAAAAAATATTTTTTTAATAATAATATTACTTATTTATTTTTATATAAATATAAATTTTATATAATAAAACTAAAAAAAATTATTTTTAAATTCCATCTAGTTTGCTATGTAAATGACCTTGTCATTTGTGAGGGAAGTGAGCTTTACTTCTTTTCCAGAGGAGAGACCTTTTATTTCTTTTTCTTCCCTGACTAGCGCAACCAGAACAAGGTAGACTAGAAGTGGAGAGAAATCCTAATTTTAATCCTGATATTAGAGCAGAGCACTCAGTATTTCATTGTTAAATGTAACCTTAGCGGTAGGAGTGCCTGGGTGGCTCAGTCGATTAAGCATCCGACTCTTGGTTTTGGCTCAGGTCATGATCTCATAGTTTTGTGAGTTTGAGCCCTGCATCAGGTTCTATGCTGGCAAGGAGGAGCCTCCTTGGAATTCTCTCTTCCTCTCTCTCTGCCCCTCCCCCACTCACACTGTCTCTGTCTCTCTCAAAATAAATAAATAAACTTAAATATACAATGTTAGCTGTATGTTTTCATTGATTTTCTTTGTGAGGTTGAGGTTGAGGAAGTTCCCTTCTGTTACCAGTTTGCTGGGAGGTTTTTTTTTTTTTGTTTTGTTTTGTTTTCAGTAATGGATGCTGGCATTTGTCTAAAGCTTTTTGTATGTCTATTGAGATGATCATGGGACTCATTTTAGTTTCTTAATGTGGTCAATTACATACATGGCTTGAGTTTTGAATGTTCTTCTAATCTTGAATTCCTGTGATCAAGTACAGTAAAACCTTGGATTGCAAGTAACTTGTTCTGTGAGTGTTCTACAAGATGAGCAAATATTTCTAATAAACTTTAACTTGATAAACGAGCAATGTCTTGCAATACTACTAGTACTTGATGCCAAGTGTCACATGATCACAATTCGTTCTTCTCTCTCTCTCTCTCTCTCCCTGCGGGATTGTGGGTGATTGTCAATGCAGTGTCACATTTCTGTGAAATCCTCAAGAGGAGGCAAAAGCAAGTGTCATTGGATAGGTTCCTTGTTAAAGTTGAACGAAAAGAAAAAGATTCCATTGATCCAATAGATGGCAGTGATTCCATTAGTGATGGTGAGAGTCGTTTCTACACAATAACCGTTCTCTCGTCTCCCTCACACCGGCCGTGAAAGTTTTCAAAGGTAAGTGCATGCTAATTTGTTTATATTTCTTTGTATTCTGTATTTTCTTTACTGTTTTGTATTATATTACAGTATTGTAATCACGTTTATATGGATATTTTTGGGTTGTGGAACAAATCATCTGAGTTTCCATTATTTCTTAAGGGGAAATTCACTTTGATATCCAAGTGCTTTGGATTACAAGCATGTTTCTGGAACGAATTATGCTCGCAAACCAAGGTTTTACTGTACCCTTCATCAAAGATGTCTTTTAAAATACATTGTGGCATTTTATTTGCTAATGTTTGGTTAATGAGAGATGCTAATCTGTAGATTTCTTGTAATGGTTTTGGTGTCAGAGGAGTGCTAGATTCATAGAGTAATTGGGATATTACTAGAGTAATTGGGATATTACTTGGTTAGCATTTGCTAGAATTGGTTTGAATCTCATTATTCCTCTCCCCACCTGGTCATGCAGTGGCATCTACATGCCCTGGGTCAGCCAGGATGTTCTCCCAGACGAGGCGAACATGATCTGAGGCCTCAGAGTCCCTGGTGGGACCACCCACACATACCAAGTGACCCTTCCCTGACCTCTGTAGACTGGGGCCGGTTCTGAGATCTCAAAGGTTGCTGCAAGAGCAGAAGCCAGCCCAGCCCCCACCTGACTTCACTTGGACACCCTGCAGAAACGTGACCAGAGAGTCCGATTGAAAGGAAGTGGAAGATCATAATTTCTGCATGTGGGGCCCCAGCGTCTGTTTTAGGAGATCCATAGGTGATTGGTCTGTACATTAAAGTTGGAGAAGCCATGCTTGGCAAAGTGGTTCTCAGCGCTGACGTCCTGTTGTGATCCCTGGGTAGTGTTGGGAACTACCATCACCTGTGTGCCTCCTCTAGCGATTCTGTCATTTGGTCTTGGCAGGGCCCAGAATCAGCACTGGTTTAATAAAGTAGTCCAGGTGCAGGGTTCAATAAAGTAGCCCAGGTAATCCTACTGTGAAGCTCCCAAGGAGGTAGGTTTCTGAGTAGTGAATCCATATTGTAGTCTATGGGAGGTAAGGGGGCTCCCTGCTCTCCATGGGCTTTTTAAAAAAGTGTTTTCTAGTTGTTATTTTTGTTTTACAGTCATAGGATAACACTTTGTGTATTATTTCGCAACTTGCTCATTTCACTTCAGAATCTGTCATGTGACGTTTTCATACCAAATGGTTAATGGCTGTAATGCTTAGTCAGTCACTCTCCTCTGGTAGGCTCCAGGTTACAGAGTGTTACAGAGAAAAACTCATACTAAAGTTAAACCTTAACTAGGCTGTAAGAAACTACAGTTAGCGTAAAAATACAGCATGAAAGTAACTTTAACATTTCCGGCCACACGATAGCTAAGACCCAAACTGGGATTAGATACCCCACTATGCTTAGCCCTAAACATAGATAGTCTAACTAAACAAAACTATCTGCCAGAGAACTACTAGCAACAGCTTAAAACTCAAAGGACTTGGCGATGCTTTATATCCCTCTAGAGGAGCCTGTTCTATAATCGATAAACCCCGATACACCTCACCATCTCTTGCTAATTCAGCCTATATACCACCATCTTCAGCAAACCCTAAAAAGGAAGAAAAGTAAGCACAAGTATCTTAACACAAAAAAGTTAGGTCAAGGTGTAGCCCATGAGATGGGAAGCAATGGGCTACATTTTCTATAACTAGAATACCCACGAAAATCCTTATGAAACTAAGGACTAAAGGAGGATTTAATAGTAAATTTGAGAATAGAGAGCTCAATTGAATCGGGCCATGAAGTACGCACACACCGCCCATCACCCTCCTCAAGTGACAAAACCCTTAAAGAAACCTATTCAAACCACTAAACCCACAAGAGGAGATAAGTCGTAACAAGGTAAGCATACTGGAAAGTGTGCTTGGATAAACAAGATGTAGCTTAAACAAAGCATCTGGCTTACACCCAGAAGATTTCATAGTAAACTCACCATCTTGAGCCAAAGCTAGCTCAAACACCCATAAATTCAATTAACACTAGACAATAAAATAAAACATTTAGTTACCCTTAAAAGTATAGGAGAGAGAAATTTAACTTGGCGCTATAGAGAAAGTACCGCAAGGGAAAGATGAAAGAAAAATTAAAAGCACTACACAGCAAAGATTACCCCTTGTACCTTTTGCATAATGAATTAGCTAGAACAACCTAACAGAGAGAACTTTAGCTAGGCCCCCTGAAACCAGACGAGTTACCCATGAACAATCTTTACAGGATGAACTCGTCTATGTTGCAAAATAGTGAGAAGATTTGTGGGTAGAGATGAAAAGCCTAACGAGCCTGGTGATAGCTGGTTACCCAGAAGAGAATTTTAGTTCAACTTTAAACTTACCCCCAAAAACTTCCTAAAATTCTAATGTAAGTTTAAAATATAATCTAAAAAGGTACAGCTTTTTAGAACTAGGATACAGCCTTTTTTAGAGAGTAAGCACAAACATAAACCATAGTTGGCTTAAAAGCAGCTATCAATTAAGAAAGCATTCAAGCTCAACAGTCAAAACACCTTAATGTCAAAAAACGCAGCTAACTCCTAATTTAATACTGGGTCAATCTATTCAACAATAGAAGCAATAATGCTAATATGAGTAACAAGAAATACTTCTCCTTGCATAAGCTTATATCAGAGCGGATAACCACTGATAGTTAACAAGATAAATATAGCCTAACCATAAACCGAATATCAAACCAATTGTTAACCCAACACAGGCATGCAAATAAGGAAAGATTAAAAGAAGTAAAAGGAACTCAGCAAACACAAGCCCTGCCTGTTTACCAAAAACATCACCTCTAGCATTTCTAGTATTAGAGGCACTGTCTGCCTGGTGACATTAGTTAAACGGCTGCGGTATCCTGACCGTGCAAAGGTAGCATAATCACTTGTTCCCTAAATAGGGACTTGTATGAATGGCCACACGAGGGCTTTACTGTCTCTTACTTCCAATCCATGAAATTGACCTTCCCGTGAAGAGGCAGGAATATTACAACAAGACGAGAAGACCCTATGGAGCTTTAATTAACTGACTCAAAGAGACCTTATCAATCAACCGACAGGGACAACAAACCTCTACATGAGTCAACAATTTAGGTTGGGGTGACCTTGGAGAATAAAACAACCTCCGAGTGATTTACATCTAGACTAACCAGTCGAAAGCATCGCATCACTTATTGATCCAAAAACTTGATCAACGGAACAAGTTACCCTAGGGATAACAGCACAATCCTATTTCAGAGTCCATATCAACAGTTGGGTTTACGACCTCGATGTTGGATCAGGACATCCTGATGGTGCAGCAGCAATCAAAGGTTCGTTTGTTCAACGATTAAAGTCCTAAGTGATCTGAGTTCAGATCAGAGTAATCCACGTCGGTTTCTATCTATTAAATAATTTCTCCCAGTACGAAAGGACAAGGGAAATAAGGCCCACTTTACCAAAGCGCCTTTAGCCAAATAGATGATATAATCTTAATCTAGACAGTTTATTCAACAACATCACCCATAGAGCTCGGGTTTGTTAGGGTGGCAGAGCCTGGTAATTGCATAAAACTTAAACTTTTACTATCAGAGGTTCAATTCCTCTTCCTAACAATAGGTTCATAATCAACATCCTCTCACTAATTATCCCCATTCTCCTTGCCGTAGCCTTCCTAACCCTAGTTGAATGCAAAGTACTAAGATAAATACAACTCTGCAAAGGACCAAACATTGTAGGACCATACAGCCTGCTCCAACCTATTGCAGACGCCGTAAAACTCTTCACTAGAGAACCTCTCCGACCCCTTACATCTTCCATATTCATATTCATCATAGCACCCATCCTAGCCCTCACGCTAGACCTCACCATGTGAATCCCCTTACCCATACCATATCCACTTATTAACATAAATCTAGGAGTACTGTTTATGCTAGCTATATCAAGCCTCGCCGTCTACTCTATCCTATGATCAGGATGAGCTTCAAATTCCAAATACGCCCTAATTGGAGCCCTACGAGCTGTAGCCCAATCTCATACGAAGTCACACTCGCCATTGTTCTCCTATCAGTACTGTTAATAAATGGATCCTTTACACTAGTCACACTAATTACCACCCAAGAGTACATCTGACTATTCCTGCATGACCTCTAGCCATAATATCGTTCATCTCAACACTAGCAGAAACCAACCGAGCTCCATTCGACCTAACAGAAGGGGAATCAGAACTGTTTTCAGGGGAATCTCAGTTTTCCCCTACAATAAGCAATAAACAGCCTTCTGCACCTGCCCTTATGTGGAGAGGTGCTTTGGGTATAATGCACTAGAGCCCAGATGTGGGATTGCTATGGTCTGTGTCTTTCCCAAATTGGGGGTAAAATGCATGTATCATAACATTGACCCTTTGAGCCACTTTAAGGGTGCAATGCTGTGGCATGTAGTCTATTCATAACACTGGGCCACCATCACCATTATCTTGGTCCATGACATTTCCATCACTGCAAAAGGACCTCCCATACTCATTAATCAGTTCACTCCTATTCCCTCCTTCCCCAACCATGGGAACTATTAATATGCTTTCTATCTCTATGAATGTGACTGTTATGTATATTTCCTATAAGTGGAGTCACATAAAATGTGGCCTTTTATTTCTGGCTTCTTTCCCTTCGCATACGGTTTTCCAGATTCATCCACGTTGTACTGTTTATAAGTCTTTTATTCCTTTTTATAGCTGAAAAAGTTTCTCATTGTATGTTTATGCGATGTTTTCTTTCCACCTTTGGATATTATAAATAATGCTGCTGTGAACTTTCTTGTAAACTTTTTGTTTCAACATCTTTTTCAGCTCTTTTTTTCATGGAGGTATAATTGATATATACTGTTATATTAGTTTCAAGTGTATAACATAATGATTTGATATTTGTATATATTGCAAAATGATCACCACAGTAAGTCTCGTTAACATCTGTCATCATATTGTTTACAAATTTTGTTGTGTGTGATGAGAACTTCTAAGATCTACTCTTAGGCACTTTTAAATGTGCAGTATATTATTATTAACCATAACTACCATGCTGTACATTACATCTCTATGTCTTAATTATTTTATACCTGTACGTTTGTATCTTTGATGTCCTTCACCTCTTTCTTTCTTTCTTTCTTTCTTTCTTTCTTTCTTTCTTTCTCTTTCTTTCTTTCTTTCTTTCTTTCTTTCTTTCTTTCTTTCTTTCTTTCTTTCTCTCTTTTTATTTTAGAGAGAGAGAGAGCAAGCAGGGAAGAGGGGCAGAGGGAGCGAGAGAGAGAGGGAGAATCTTAAGTAGGTTCCATGCTCAGTGGAGTGGGACCCGATGTGGGGCTTAATCCCATGACCCTGGGATCATGACCTGAGCCGAAATCAAGAGTCGGATGCTCAAAGGATTGAGCCACCCAGGCAACCCTCACCCCTTTATTTCTTTAGAGTACGTATCTAGGGGTGGAATTGTTTGGTCACATTTAACTTACAGAATAACCCCAGTGGCTGCCCCATTTTCCATCCCCACCACTAATGTATGAGGGTTCCAATTTCTTCGCATCCTCACCAAAATGTCTTATTTTATTTTTTTTAAATTTTTTTTTCAACGTTTATTTATTTTTGGGACAGAGAGAGACAGAGCATGAACGGGGGAGGGGCAGAGAGAGAGGGAGACACAGAATCGGAAACAGGCTCCAGGCTCTGAGCCGTCAGCCCAGAGCCTGACACGGGGCTCGAACTCACGGACCGCGAGATCGTGACCTGGCTGAAGTCGGACGCTTAACCGACTGCGCCACCCAGGCGCCCCCAAAATGTCTTATTTTTAAGGTTTCTTTTTTTTATTTTTTAAAGTTTTTCATTTATTTAAGGAATTTCTATACCAAACATGGGGCTCGAACTTATGACCCTAAGATCAGGAGTCGCATATTCCTCTGACTGAGCCAGCCAGGGACCCTTAAGGTTTTGTTTTATAGAATACCCATTGTGGTGGGTTTAAGTGGTATTCACTGTGGATTGTTAGTGCCTTTTTTAAAAATTATGGTAAAATATACATAACTTAAAATTTACCACTTTGATACTTTTTATAAAGTAAGCTCTATGCCCAATATATGACTGTAAGTCCTAAACCTCAGATCAAGAGTTGCACACTCAACCTACTGAGCCAGCCAGACCCTCACCATTTTTATCATTTACAAGTATACAGTGACGATAAGTACATTCCCATTATTTAATGTGCAGCTGTCATCACTATCCATTTTTGGACCTTTTCCCACATCTCAGCCCTAAAACTCTATACCCATCAAACAATAACTTCCCATTTTCCCTCCCCCTAGTTCCTGACAACCATGATTTTACTTTGTATGAACTTGACCTCTCAGGTACTTCATTTAAGTGGAATCATCCAGTATTTGTGCTTTGCGTCTGACTTCTTTGATGTAGCATAATGTCCTCTGAGTTCATCCAGGTTGTGGCCTATATCAGAATTTTGTTCTTTTATAAAGCTGAATAATACTCGAGTGTGTGTATGTGTGTGTGTGTGTGTGTGTGTGTGTGTGTACACACCATATTTTGTTCATTCATTGATAGACATTTGGTTTGTTTCCATGTTTTGGCTATTGTGAATAATGTTGCTTTGAGCATTGGTGTAAAATATGCTTGAATTCCTGCTTTCCATTCTTTTGGGTATATACCCAGAAATGAAATTGCTGGATCACGTGGTAATTTTATGCTTAATTTTGTGAGGAGCTG